GTACAATGAAGATCAATTAAGCTTGGGTAAATTAAGTTTAGAGTTTATATAATGTGTGTTAATTCTATAAGCTCAAATATACACACATATTACATTTGTGAATTTTCATGAAAATAGGTGTTTTTATGCAAAATACATTCAAATATGTTTTGGTCTATACAAACCATGTTAACATCTTTTATTATGTCTATAAAACGATTACACAAGTTTTCAGAACTTGTTTTGAGCTAAAATGACAAAAACAATATATTTGAAAAATATGTATTTTAGCATTTTTTTATATTTCTGAGTTTTCACAAATGGTAAGAGCAATTTAAAAATTTCATTTTCCAACATGTTCATATTCATGATTATAAACTTTTCTCAAAGTTTTACATTTTTTAGAATTTATTTGCTATTTTTTAAGGCTATTCAAAGTTGGTTTTTACTATTTAAAACAGGCTGATACCACGTTATCAGTCGACTGATGAATGTGTTCAATCGACTGAAAAAAAAACACCTGGAATAGTTAAAAGTTTCTGTTGCATTTTGGTCGACTGACCAGTCGACTGATGATCCATCAGTCGACTGATAAATATCGTCAGTCGACTGATAAATATCGTCAGTCGACTGATGAGCTGAAAAATGCCTACAACGGTCAGCTTATCAGTCGACTAATAAAACTCGTCAGTCGACTGATGGCCTATAACGGCTATATTTTTAGCCTTGGTTATTTTATCATTTTTGCTGGTTTTGCTTGGGTTTTGTGCCTTGGTCCTTCGTCCTATATATGCCCCATTTTATTTCATTTCTGAACTAAGAGAAAGAGAGTTTAAAAACAAGTTTTAATGGTGGTTTAAATTTGTTTAAGTGTTTACAAAATTGGTTTTGTGAAGATTATTTCATAAGAAGAGGAGATCATCTTTGGTTTGAGCTTTCCATTTCACATCTCCATATCTCTTGTTCTAGAGAAGTTTTCTCAACTCATTTTTCTAGCTGATTTACATTTACATTGTCATATTTATATTTACTAGACTTTAATTGAGTTTGATTTTATTTTCTCATTGCTTACACACACAACCTTTGAGCTTAAGTATTTTCACATATTGTATAATTTGGGGTTGTGGTGAGTGTAACCTTTAAGAGTGAGCCTAAATTGTGTTCTCATCTATTATAGAGAATAAATATTATAATTGAGCCTTATTGTGAGAGTATCACTTTATAATACACATTTACACCGAGAGGAGTGTGTGGTGAGGACGTAGTCGATACCAAGAGCAGTGGCATCGGTAGTAAAGCCTAGAGAGAGGTAGTAAAGCCGAGCACTTGAGGGAGGTGATACGTGAGGACCAACACTTGAGGTTGTAGTTTGTGTATGTACATTGTGAGAGATTTGTAGAGTTTTCTGTGAGCTAGAAAACTGAGTGTGTAGAGAAGTTTTGGCTTTCAAACCGGATGTGTCGATAGTGGAGTTCTCCCCGGGAGTGGGGTGTGAAGACGTAGGACGGAAGGTCCGAACTCCGTGATTATATTATTGTGTTTGGATTGCTCTTTGTGTCCACTATTTGTTTATATTGTTTCTTATTTATTTTGCCCTTTGCATATATATCCTTGAATATATATTATTGAATATCATCATTGTTAGGATATATTTGTTAATTAATTTTAATCGGCATTAATATCTAATAATATTAGCAATAACCCTATTCACCCCCTCTAGGGTACTTTCAGCGGCGTCACGTGCGGTCAACCGCTGGAAGTCCAAAGTGTTTCCTGCAGCTTTTCCTATACTCTTCGACGTTGCCGCCTTCAACGATTTCGTCCACGTCTCTATTCTCAAGATACCATGAGCATCATCTATCCTCAAGCTCCCATGAGGATCGCTAAGCTCCCGAAGCAAGGAAGAAGATACACCCGTATCATAATCTTTCTTGAGTTGTCGGCATGTGTCCCACTCTATGCCAGATCAAATATGATTAGAGGCCAGACGACTCAAACCGCTACTGCGGCTGACTGCATAAGCCAACAACTTATATGGCCGACTCGAAAGGTGGTACTTTCTGACCTACCCACCAGATCGATCCTATAAGCACTGGCACTCAGCCTACTGTTTCAGCCGGTAACACGTATAGCCGAGTAAAAAGGTGGTATTAGTTGGCCCTCCACCAGATGACTTTGACTTTGACTTGAGCTTCGGGCACTCTCTCTTCCAATGTCCTTGTTCCTTACAGAATGCACACAGGTTCTTCACTAATTGGTGGTGGCCCCTTAACTTTGACTTGTTCCTATTACCACCTCTCGGATATGGACATCTGAAATCTGAATAATCTTCACATCAAGTGTAACCGATTCTCAATACTCTTCGTAAGGTATTTATTATTAAGAATCTCCCACATCTTCATCACAGACGTCACCCCAATCACATCATATTTCAGTTCTTGTTCCAAACAAAACCTGATAACCCCACAAGCATTCCTATTCATCTTGTCCCATATCACCTCATCGTATTTCGGTGTCCTCTCATAGACCATAATGGTCTATTCTAAATTTTGAGCATTTAGAGCGTCCTGTATGTCGCTTATCCAGAAACCAAAATTTATTTTGTCATCATACTTCACCACACTAATCTTAGTATTTTAAAATCCAACTTGAACTGTACTCTCCTTCGCCTTGCTGCATTCACCAACTTCTTCTCCCATTGCAAACCACTCCAAACTGTAAAGAAATATTCAAACTTTAATAGAAATTAAGAAATTACCCAACTGAACCTAGATAGGATTCTAACATGATCTCCTAACCATATGAGGAAAGCGAGATCTTCAACGATAACTCCTTAACGCCATCCCACAGAAGCCTGGAATTCTAAGAACCAAGCTTGCACAATGAATCTTCCTCCACCCATTGTCAAAACGCTAGATCTCAAATCTAGAGCTCTGATACTAATTGTAGCATGCTTTACGGAAGTGTGCTCGACAAGCAAACGAGTTGGCGTGCAATGAGGGAAGAGAACCAAAACAAATACGAGTGCAATCCAACAAATACGACACAAATCAAACCAAACATAGAGATTTACGTTGTTTGACAATTGCCTATGTCCATGGGGAGAGGATGGGGAGATTTTACTATATGAAGGAGAAATACAATAGGTTACAACTCACAAAATCACTCAAATATAACCTTAACCAAAGCTCTCAACTCTCTCACATTATCTCCTCTCAAAGTGCTCAAAAGTCTCTCCTTTCTCTGCTTAAGAAATCCTAAAAAACGTGTTTGTATTTATAACAAACACCAAATCCAAAACAGACCAGGAAAACCAAATTTGGCCCATAACCGATTCGCGGTCGTCCGAACATAGATCTGCGGTCGACCGGCCAGAAACTTTGATATCAGTCCTGTAAACAGCATACTTTCGGTCGACCGCACGAACGTGGCTGGTCGACTGACCCGAACAAGGTTTTGGACCCTGTATTGTGCACGAAATCGGTCGACCGACCTGCAACCAACTGTATATGCTGATTTTTCACGTTTTCTTCAATTCTTTCGCCGTTTTCAACACGAACATCCTCACGAAACCCTTAAAGTTTGAAGCATTTGTCAAGCTAAAGCACATTATGGGATTGAAGACTTTAAAGAATTTGGATTAAGGGGGAATATTGAAACTAATCCAAATTCAATTAGGTTATCATTAGTAGTTAGTTCTATCATTAAGAGTTTACTTCTATTAGGAATTGGTTAATATATCTAATCTATAGTATTTCGTTGCTTTATCTTTAGAAGTTCATGTCATATTAGAATTCTTATAATATTTGATTGCTAAACTATTTAAATGGTATTGTAGCCGAAAGTTACTATAGCAGCAGCAAACAAAAAAGTGACCAACAAAAGATTAATTTGTTTGTTTCTCCCAATAAATCTCTCCTCATATATACTATAATTCTATTAACTTT